GGAAGACATCTCGCACGAAGCGCTTACCCGATGGGTCGATCTACGTCTGGAGTATGAAGAGATCATGAGGGCGCGCTGTGATTCGTCAGGAGAAGACTTGAAGTCCGTCATGCGTTCTGTGAAGAACTCGTTTGACGACAGCTTCCTCGACACGTTGTGTGAGACGAAATGGGAAAAGACAAAGGATGACCTTACCGATGAGTTTATCTGAAACTGGGTCATGGATACAGTACGGAACTTCAAAAACAATGCTTTACCAAACATTGACAAGCTGTTCCAAGACCAGTTAGTGATGTCGACTACCAAGTCCGATATCGATGCACGGGTTATGGACTACTTTCATCTGTGCATCACGATTGTGAAGACCAATGGATTAGTAACTTTGTTCTCGGACGAGGAAGGAACTAAGAAAAAAAGTGTAAGGTGTTGTTAAATTGCCTGCCTGGAGAATTGAAGAATCGAGTGAAGAACGAGATTGACTTCAGATTTCCCGCCGCTAAGTCCAACGTGTCGGTACAGTTCAAGGTCGTGAGTTAGAAGGCCTTGGAGATAGACCGTGAAGACAAATTCCTGATCAGGAACAAAAGACGTTCTCAGGCCACGGAATTGAAGCCAACGGCAACCTCACGACCATCGAAAAGAGCCAAAATCGTGAGGGATAAGCGAGTCGTTCGCGAATCTGGAACTCCGGCTGCACCGCGAATATTTTGGACCAACTCAGAGAGAAACACCCCGGCCCAAAGGAGGATGTTGGACCTGCGGAGGTCAGCATCGGCAAGTCGACTGCCTCAAAAAGGCCGAAGCCGATGCCGTTGCTACCAGGAAGCCGAGTAAAGGGAGGCAATGTAAAGCTAAGAAGGACTAGCTAGTGTCCACCTGGTCGAACGGGGTAACCCCCTATTTTGTGTGTCAATGGGGTTGTCGATGTGGAATACTGTGCAGACTCTGGGGCAGAGACATCGTGTATCAGCTCTACGACTCTGAAGAAAATTAAAGAACAAGGTGTGAATTGTGGCGCTGAGCGATTGGAGAACCCGATCGAGTGCAGATTGCCGGGTGGTGAGAAGACGTGGGCACGTGAGACGACAAAGTTGAAGTTGTCGCTCATGACAGCGGCAGGACCTGTCAATATTAACAAACCTGTGCCATGTTTGGTACTGGAACGAGATGATGATGAATTTTTCATTGGAGATGACGTGCTGAAGTTTATTGGCATTGATGTCGAGAGACAATTGGAACTTTTGGCGACGCCGAATTGCAATGATGGAGATGATGGCGAAGAAACGCCGGATGTGATGGCAGGAGGGAACGACGCTGAGGTTATCCGAGTTGCTGTTGAGGCAATGCTCCAGCGAGCACTGGATGAAGGCTTTCCCGCCGAAAAACTTGAGCAGTTGTGCACAATTGTGATGCGTACGATGTCTGGAGAATCGTACTCGGTAATGGTCCCCCTGCAAAGGTCGAGCCGATGAAGATCAAGATGAAGACGGGTTGTAGGCCATGCAAGGCGATGGATCGCAAGTATGCGCCGGAATACCAGGCGTTTCTGGAGTCGTTTAACGACATGCTGGTCAAACTCGGGTGGGTGTACGAGAATCCAACGAGTCGCTGGGTCTGTGCTGTACTACCATTACGCAAGCGTGGCGATGGTGGCTTTCGTCAGACTGTCGACTACAAACCTTTTAACGCTCAGACTGAGATTATGGCGGGTCTTATGCCGAACCTTCATGTGGACTTGGAGAAAGTGAGAGGTAGCAGACATTTTGGGCTGTTTGACTTCATTAAAGGGTACTGGCAGCTCGCGCTTGCCAAGGAGTGCCAGGAACTGGTGTCCTACATGACCCGCAGAAATATCTACACACCTACTCGGGTCCCACAAGGAAGTGCTGATGCAGCACTGTATTTTCAGTCAACAATCGAGCGGTGCTACGCGGCGCTGTTGTATAAGCACCTGTTAATATGGATAGATGACTTGCTGCTGTATGCTGCGGACATTGATACGTACCTCGATAAACTGCAATAACTGCTACAACTGACAGCACAATTCGGTTTCAAGCTCAGTGTAGCCAAGTCCTGCATGTACATGCGTGAAGTTAAATGGTGCGGCAAAGTTATAGATGGTGAAGGGGTGAACCATGACCCTGAGCAGATAGAAGCTTTGTGTACCATGCCCAAACCGTCGAGCGCTGGTGAACTTCAACAGTTTCTCTGTTCTACGAACTGGATGAGAGACAGCATTGTCGACTATGCTCGATTGGCACGCCCACTGCAGGATACACTGAACAAGGAGATGGCTCAGGCCACTCGGCGGACCAAGCGAGTGGCAGCGGGTATATCGATCACACTTACCGAGCAGGAATGCGAGGCGTATGATGCGGTGAAGCAGGCTCTGGCCGACACGGCCACCCTGGCGTTCCCAAAGCCAGACAGTGAGATGGTTTGCTGACGGATGCCTCAGACATTGGATGGTCAGTGATTGTATCGGAAGTGCCTAATTGGAAAAGTGATGCAGACATCCAGGACCAGCAACACGAGCTGTTTATCTGTCTTGGTGGTACTTTCACTGGCGCACAAAGGAATTGGAGTGTCATAGAGAAAGAAGCCTACCCTATTGTCATGGCTTGTGACAAGCTCAGCTATGCCCACGTGGATTTCGCATGTATTGCGACCACCGCAATCTGATACATGTCTTCGCTCCAGGCCATGAAGTGAAGAAACATGTTCGAGGAAAACTGTTGAGATGGTCAATGAAGTTGATGGAGTATCGCTACACTATCGAACATATTGAAGGGATACACAACACTTGGGCTGATATGGTATCTTGCTGGGCAGGAGTACGTCCCGCACCCAGTGTAGCTGTGCAACACGTTACCTTGCGGCGTCAACGTGATGAGGATCAAAGTGACGAACCTACCGGTAGGCGAAACGTTATCCCGGCCGATTTGATCGTTTAGTGATGGGAACTTTGCATGGCCGACAGCAGATGAACTGTGTGCAGCTCAACAACGGCACATTGTGGACCTTCCAAAGGTCCTTGACCGAACATGTGCGGGGCTACTGTGCAGTCGTGACCGGATTTGGGTCCCGTCTAATGAGAATAGGCGCGTCCAACGGCTGCTAGTGATCGCTCACTGTGGAGCACAGGGACGTCGGGGTCGTGAAGCGCTACTGAACGTGGAGAACCGGAGGTTTATCATACGGAATCTCTCAGCTACGGTAAAGTCTTTCCTTGCTGGCTGCCTCCTATACCAGCACGTAAAAGGGGGGAAGATAGTGATGCGACCGTGGGCTGATACATTCCGGTGCAATGAACGAAACGGAGATTTGCATTGGGACAATGTGACACTAGGCGATTCCTACGGTGATTACAAGTACTTGTTGGTGTTTAAGGAATATTCGACCCACTTTTGTGAGCTGGTGCCGTGCGCAGTGCCAACAGCAGCTAGGGCTGCAGAGGCGATATTGGACTGACACAGTCGTTACGGAAAGCACCTCGTGTGCGGATAAGTGACCAAGGCAGTCATTTCAAAAACCAAGTTGTGGCTGAAGTGGCAAGGCGCCTTACTGGTGGACAGAGGTTTACGGTGGCGTATAGCCCATGGACAAATGGATCAATTGAGAGGCTCAAAAGGGACTTAGTGCAGGTCTTTAGAACCATGTGCCTCGAAGCAAAGGTGGACATTCGTGATTGGCCATATATCATTCCGGTGGTTCAGTAGAATCTGAACCATACCCCGATCCCGTCTCTTGGGAACAAGGCACCAGTGGAGCTTTTCTGTGTTCTACCTGCTGCTTCTCCACTTGACTTCGGGTTCAACACCCAAGACAACGCTTTTCTTGAGCTAGACACGACCTCCAGCCAGATCAAGAAGAAGTTAGCTTCGCTGCAAGCTAGGGTGCAAGAGATATACAAGGTTGTACAAGAAACAAGGGCGAACCAAACGAGACGGAATCAGAAGGCACAGAGAACAGCCAGGAAGGCGAACTTCGATGTTGGTGACTACGTGTTGAGGTCAAGGTTGGATCAAAACCACAACAACAAGCTACTCGTTACATGGATAGGTCCGTACCAGCTTATTGATACAGACGAACACTCCTTTCGTGTACAGCACTTAGTGACTGGAGCGGAAGCAGACGTGCACGCCTCACCCCTCAAGTTCTACCTAGATGCGTCTTTTGAAGTAACGGAGGAGATCCGAGAGCACGTGGCTGCTCAAGGAATCGTCTTTACGGTTGCGGAACTCAAGAGCACTGGTGGAACTCGGTAAAGAAGTGGCACGAGATACCGGTAGGGTGGAAAGGTTTGGAGCCAATTGAGGACTCGTGGGAGTCGCTCAGCTCATTGTACAAGGATATCCCAGTGATGGTGAAGCAGTACATGGCTGCATCAAGTGATACTGAGCTAACTGTAACATTGGAGCAACTTTAAGGCTTCAACTTGAAGAGTCTATGTTGCTTGATCAAGATACCATGAATTTGGTATCTTGATCAAGCAACATCGACATAAATCCAAGGCTTGGCGGCATCAAAGTGTGCGGTCAAGTTTTGGTGAGGCGGTGTAGTGGGGCGACGGTCTTCAGGACCTGACCACACACTGTGCTGGCGGCCGAGGACGGTCCCAGCAGGAGCTGGCGTAGAATAAGACTCAGAGGTGGGAGAACTCGAGGCAGATACTTAGGCAGTGATGTAGGAGTAGCTGACGAGAGTCTCAACTATCTCATTCTGGATTTTGCAGAGTACAATACAAGCAAGAGTTCAAAGGAAGCACCAGCTTCCCTCGCAAGTGTGTTCATTCGGATCCCACTACAAAGCGGTGAAGCATGGGGTTTAATTCGAGGGAGAGGTAGCCGTGTTTGCAGTATGATCCGCCTGACGCCGGTTTCAACAAGCGCACCCTCTTGACTTTTGCTGCACTCCCAAATATCACTACCCGATTGAGGCGGACGGCTCCATGTTTTCTTACGCATTGAGTCCATGGTAGTACGCTGTCTTGAAGTGGTCCTTTTTTTTTTTTTTTACTTTTATCACTTTTTTTCAAAAAAAACTTCCGGCTTTTAGAACCGAGCCAATACTTGTAAACGACTCCTCACCTTCAGTACGACAAGAATCATGACGACAGTAGGAAGAGCTATGGATCCTGTTGGTAGCAACATTGTGCCAGAAGAGGAAGGTGACGGTGCTCAGCATCTCGACGATCTTCTGGAAGAATTTTACTCGTTCATGTACGAGAAGGCTGTGCTGGCAGGACCGACGGGAACGAGTCCATCGAAGTCGAAGGTTACAGGCAAGAATAAAGGTGGAGCTGGTTCCCCACCGCGTGGATCTTCGCTGATGCATGATACACACAACAAGCAAGTTGTTGGCGGACCTTCTACTACTAATGCCCCAGTCTCAACGTCCCTTTCGAGAGAAGTTATGGATGCGTTGTTACCACCAAAGTACGCTTGAACAGGGCCTTTTCATTATGAGGTTGTTCTAACTAATTATTGCTCTAGAACTTGGAAGGATGCACAGGGAAAGTGGCAACGTATGGTGAGTATGTTACCTGCAACACGAACGGAAACCCAGCGCCTTCAAGAGACCTTCGATCAGCTATTAAAGCTACACCAGGCACGAGTGCACGCGATCTGTCCCGTACGAGAGAAATTTTTCTTGCAAGTTTTCGGTGCGTTGTATTGTGTAAAAAAAAACTTTCGTTAATACTTACCGCACAATTTGATTTTTTTTATTCAGAGGAGCTGATTCGCGAAGTTTCCTGCGAGTGCCCAGAGCGAGGTTTGATGCTGCTGCGTCTACATAATGAGCTGCGACTTACAGTCGAGGCGTATCAGACGCTCTATCATAATAGCATCGCGTATGGGAGGCAGAAGGCAGTTCAAGCCGAGGCTGGCATTGGTGCGCTTGAAAAAGAAATCAGTCGCCTGAAAGCTGAGCGTGAGCTTCTTGAATCTAAGAAAAAGGAACTAACGCACAAAGTTATGGTACGATGAAAGTAATCTCTCAATCGTGGAATTGTTCTTACAATGTCATGATGCCTACAGTTCTTGGAGAAACAACACAGCGAGGAAGAGAAGAAACGACAGCTTCGTCACGCTCACACAGTGCAATTCTTGCAGACGCAGTGCCAAGAATTAGAGCTTTTTCATCGTGAAATGACACAAGACCCGACGTGGAAATAGAGCTTCACGTTAAAAAGAAAACTTTCAAATATTGCAGATATTCGGCCTTGATTAGGTCGATTTCTCGTCCTTCGCCTCCTTTGCGTCTTTCAAAGACGCCGTCAATTTGTCTGCGTTCGTTTTGTAGTCCCAACGCCGCTTGACGATATGGTGCAGAGTCTGTTTGTTTAGTGTGGCCAACTTTCCTTCTCGAACGAATCCGCCCAGATTCTCGGGTGGGAGTGCAAACACATTTGCAACTTCATGTAAGAGATCGAAGATGTCGTCCACTGCTGCTGGCGTTGAAGGGGAGCAGAAGGCTTGGCGGTATTCGCTTACGTCGCGAAGTAGCATACAGGCACCATCAGGATCAAAGCGGAATTTCCTCAGATGCTGCAGATACAAATCTTTGAATGATCTCGCAAGTGCAACAAGGAAACGATCGCAGTTCTCTTCGATCTATGATGACAACACAATTAGCGACTGAGTCATCTACTGTGTATGCAGACATTGAAAAATAGTAGGACGCACCAGGACTCGGCAGATTAGAGTTACGAGTGGCTGCAAATACTCCGTGCACTTCTGACACGCCTTGGAGGACGAGAGCGACATGCTGGCTTGGCTGCCGAGGAAGTCACCTTTGCCCTGGTGCGCGGTCAGGATCTGGCTAATTGCCTTTTCAATCACAGTCAACACTTGCTGAAGACCGGCTGCAATAAGGCTCTCAAGCTTGTTGAGGCACTTTTGTTTGCTTTCTTGGCAGATTCTAAAAAAAAAAAAATGAAATCAGTGGTAGTATTTGCTACAACGTAGTAATAAATGAGTCGATGTACGTGAGTTCGGTAGGTAGAGACTCTTGCAATGGCGAAATGAATGAGTCAAATTGCTCATCCAGGAAGTTAATTCGCTTGAGTAAAGCCTAAAATTAAAAGCCATTTAGCTTTGTTAGCTCACGTAAAGATCAAATAAAACACCATCATACCTCGGTGACGATGAAAAACTGCAGTGGAGACTCTGGTGTCAGCCGCTGCTCTTGCAAAACCCCCTTAGATAATGTCATGAGTTTCTGCAGAAACAAGGCAGTAAAAATGGCGTCACTACGAGGAGTGATATGTATGCACTATGATACGTCAAACGTACCCCCAAATATTCGTCTCCAAATGATGCCACGAAGGACGTAAAAACCTTGGTTATGAGTTCTCCACGTAGCTCAGACCCCTTCAACACAATGTCGCAACGATCAATTGCCTCGTCCATCACTTCTCCATACCTGGCGGGTACGCCTTCATCTTCCGCAAGGCCTCGAAGACTCTCGAAAAATACTAACGATGCCTCCAACTGGGCGATACAGCCATCTTTTTCAAGATTGGACGATGATATCGATGTGGTTGAGGCTGAAGACACCAGTTGAGTGGTGGAAGCCGACGGAGACGGTGTGGATATGTTTGCAGTCGCTGTAGCTGAGCTTTTGCTTTTGGAAGCGCCTCCTTTTCCCTTGGAAGGTACGGGTGGCTGGGGATACTTCACTACCGACAAAATGTCCTTGAATCGGTCTTGTAATAAATCCAGCTCTGTTTGTAAATACTTTTCCCGATGGTTACCGAACAGAGAATGGAGCTGGAGATCGAGAAAGGTATGGATTCTCTCGTTCATAACGACAGTAGAAGTTTCTTCCAATTGATCATCGTCGCTACTTGGATCTTGGTTTGAATCAGCAGTTTGCTTGTAAGATTTGGGCTGGTTTGCACGGTCGATAGCTTCAATCTCTGCCACCATTGCACACGTTCTCTCGTACGCTGAACATAATAGCTTGACGTAGTCTCGGTTAGGCGATGATGGTAGACCTTCTGCGTCAGTAGCAACGGGGCTCGACGATTCAGTGTATCGCCGCGTCTTGAGAAATTGGTCTAAGAAGGATAAAATGCCAAACGCTGGGTCATTGAACAAACGCTCTACCAGCAGCTCACGGATGGAGTCACAGGCAATGGAAGGGAAGACACTGTCAATAACTGGAAACTGGTCCGTACAAATACCCAGAATTTTTGTATACAGTGCATCCAGATCCTCAATGGGATCAAGTGACGCCACAACAGGTGCCCCAGAAGTCCTACATCGACACACACATAAAAAATTTATTGTAACTTTTCAATAAGAAGTTAGAAATTCAGCCACGTACTTGGCAAGTCGGTCACACATGACGTTCCATACATATCGATCCGCCACCTTCTCCTTGTCGTTGTACTCAATCAATGACTCGGCACATCTGCGCATTCCCATCAAGTTGCCTTTCTCCTGTTCGTTACTGAACTCCGTCAGTAAATTATTCTCCGTCGTCTGACTCAATCGTTCGATTTCCGTCACTGCAAATGCAATCGTCGGCGACGACAACTCGGTCGAGAACTCACTCATCTTCTTGATAATCCGCGAAGCTTCATGCAGCTGGTTCGGATCATGGAGAGTATTGAAAAGTCTGTTACTTGACTTGGTCAGCTTGCTACTGGGGTCGTTCAGAGCCAGCAACGCCTCCATCAACTCGTCCGTCTCTAAGACTCTTGATCGTTCAATGTCCAGACTCGACAGTTTATCTCCAATCATCACAGCGGACGAACTCACTTTAGTAAACCTCTCCTCCAAGTCTTCCATCTGAGCACATATATCCTAAATAAAAAGAAAAATTAACCATCATAATTTACTTACATTTCTCTAAAGAAAAATAAAAAAAATACTTACGTTGAGCAGCATATCCGGCTTCACCAGTCCGTCCTGGAACTTGCTGCTCACTCGTCGACTGTCCTGTTCCAGCTCTGCAATACGGTTGGACACAACTTTGCAGTGCTGTACCAGACGATCAATAGACTCAGCCAATACACTCTGAAGGGCGTTCAAAGATGAGGTTTGCTGGGTGAAGGAGGCGAGACTGCTCCTTGTGTCAAAAGTTGGGTCTATTGGCTCCCACGTGCTCGTTAGCAGCTCGTCCACCATCGTCTCGGCGTTGTAGGTGCTCGCATGGGGACGAGTTGAGTCAGTAGCAGCTGTCAGAAGTTTGTCCAACTCCGTACTTGGGCCTGGGATCGAGGAAGAGCGAGCTCCCCATGCCGGGACTTCGGTGCGTCCTGTCATTGCGGAATAAACTTCAACAAAGATCTTTAGACGTCCTTATAGTGAGTTAAGGGCTTGGATTTATACTCCGATTTAATATACTCACAGATTGCATAAAAATTTACAGAATAAGTTTTGTGTCATTAGCTATTCTATGATGGAGACAGTTGAAGTGCAAGTGGTCGTCCGCTGCTCCTATTGTGCCGTTGGTCGTTGCACAAAGCAACGAAATAAATGGTGTGGATATCAGTGGAGCAGTGTCTTCGGTTTGGTTGTCCGGGGAGATCGGGCTCAGGAGGAAATCTAGTGACAGCTTGGACTTGACAACCTTGGCCGCGGTAGTGACACCAGCGACAGTTTCCGATGTTGCAGACTCGAGGAACTGCCTAGCGTGTCGTTTGCAATATCCTCGCAGTTGCACGAACTTGTTGCAGTTGGGGGCTTTGCAGCGCCGACCACCACCGTGAGAGAGACAGAAACCGGTATATTGTCCGAGTTTCGTGCAGCCTTCGTACGAGCAGCGACGCCCACCACCATGAGCGACACACAGCCCTCGTGTTTGTGCGAGTTTCTTGCAGCTGGAGACACGGCAGCGAACGCCACCGCCGTGAGCCTTGCACAGTCGTCGAGTCTGTGCTCGCTTGCTGCATCCTGGGACGGAGCATGGTCGGACTCTCGTCGGTTGCACCATTATGTTATGTTTTGGTGGCGTTATTGCTGGTAAGTTTTGGAGTGAGAGCCACACATTCATCTGCTGATATGCAAAACATAATCGCTCCAATTGAACCAAACACCATAATCCAGCTACATAATCAGCGTGGAGTCATGATAATGCGTAATATTCTACTCCTGGTCAGTCACGGTGTGTAAATGTGATCTCCGTTAGCGAAACGAGCGCAACTAGGCTGTACCACCATCATTACATGTAGATGCGTAGTAACCAAGACGTGTCGATTCAGATGAGAAAGCGAAGAACTTAAATGCAACACTGCATATTTTGATTTTTTCCTCAACAAAAAAAAAACACTCACAACCCAACAATGAACAGGTTGATGTTTGAAGGTGGTGGTATGGTCATGTTCGACATGTTTGGCTCGAACTAATAACTGCTAACCAGGATTTCAGGTATTTAGGTGAAATCGGGGGTCTTACGAAACGCTGACAAAAACAAGAGACTCAATAACGTTTTACAGGTCATTGTGGAAAATTATGAGCGATTCGAAACACCCCAGGATATTTCCCCCTCGGTCTAAACCGAATTTTGCTCCCGCAGATTCCAAGTTGCACAGGCGAAATAATCCGACATTACGAAAGGCTTTAGCACGAACCGAAAGACACTGACATGCACCTCGTTGCCTATGCGGAATTCTTGTTGACGTTTGCACTCACTATTCTGACGAGCTGCGAAAAAGCTACCTCCGCGGTGACTGGTAGGGACTAGACAAGCTTCGGTAAGAATCCACTGAACGATGCTCTATTATCCGCGCATAGTAGCCTTGATGAATCTATACAAAAGAGATACTTATCAAGCCGGCAAAAGCTCTACGAATGACGAGGGGAGGGAAATCATACCATCGAGCGTGCGCATAGCGTTCAAAAGGTTCACGACAAAAGATGATACGATCTACGCATGGAATGGGAAATGGGGGTGAGAAGGTATGGTGGGCAAAAGTACTGAAGCATTACAGGAAGACCAAGAGCGATTTTGATTTGTACTTCTGGAGAGCGTACTGGGACTTCCGTTTCATGGTATGGGATGTGAATAAGAGGACCCCGGCGATGATGTACGACAGATTGAACGTTGTCAAGGCGACCAGCCCGGCCGACAAGAGCTATCACATTTACATCAACTGTCTAAGCTTCTACGAATTCTATCATGGTCCAACGTACAATCCTATTCACGTTTATGGGCCAAAGTTCAAAACTGACTAAGAAACTGAGCATCTAGTTGAGCACTTAACAACCGATGCCGATCTTTTCTGGTCTTGCCTTCTCCCTACCCCTGCGTTATTATCCACACAAGAGATTGTATATAACTTGCTGCCGTCATTTTTTCCCCTCAATATCTCGAAATCCATTCTCTGCTTCTTATTCCTAAAGTGGCAGTAATTTGCTGGAGTTTTCAAGAGAACCCAAAGAAGCTGAATTGAGAGTTGTGAGAAATCGCAAGATCGTCAGAGATACGCTGGCCCAGGAGTAAATCAACTAGCTTTCTTGTCATTATATCGCTGACCCAAACGACGAGAACATTACGAAGACGTCACGAAGTGGAAATCTGCGCGGATTCAGGTCACGCTTTGAGTCAATTTGGAGATGTAGCACGCGCAATTCACTAGTGCTGGTTTTTTTGGAACTGCGTATGAATTATTGCTGTACCACGCAGTTCTGGATGGATTTTAGCAGAGATTACCAGTCGTGCTGAGGATGCGTGCAGGCAGAGTCTGAGTACGAAAGGATTTCGATGTTTGCTTCACATTTCGAGCACAGCGGTGTTGCTGAAGAACGGAGGTTTTGTGGCCTAGAAAACATTTGAGCCGGATCGTCTCAGTATGTTGAACGAGACGTTGGATAAAATTCAGACTTTGTGGATACGTGTCAAACCCACGCTTGTAGTGGTTGGTCCCGACTTGAGACTCTGCGAGACATTTACGTAGCATGGTGCCCCAGCTCCAGTGGGAATTTCTTACCATGGTGGGCTGTTCAACCCAAACGACCCGTATGCACTGGAGCCAACATTTTAGCAGGTTGTAAGTCATCGAGTTCGCTGAGTTCCCTTCTAGCGACGATAGTACTAGTAGACGATAAGCAAAAAAACGAGAAATCCTGAAGACTAAATATGGCATGGTGCTGCGCTGGACAACAAGGTAGAATCCACTTCATTAGTAGAGCTCTCTGTAGAAATCCAAGCTCGATAGACCTGGTGCTGCAGTTCTCAAAACTGCGATCCTTTCTTGTTACCGATACCCTTCTCGTTTGCATCCTTCCAGTCGTCCCAGGCGCGATCTTTATACGTCGCCTCCTCCACTAACTTCTCGTCGTCTTCATCGCCGTCTTCTACGAGCTGGTCATACCGACGCGGTCCCTGCGGTGCCTCCCTGTATCAGCAATAACAAATAAAACATCAGACACTCCACAGTGCTTATCTCACTGAAAACCACAACGCACTGTTCTCTCTTCTGCCTCTCCATGGCATCCGCCACCTCGCGGTCCGCGTACTCCTCCAACGTCATCGTCGGGAGGCGGTGACCAGGCTTGAACACGCCCGAGCGTATCGTTTCACGCCGCATTTCCATCTGCGGGTTAATCCGCGTCACCTCCTGCATCAACACAGTTTAAAACACCATCAGCGCTGCCTCCACAATCTCCTTAACGTCTTTGATCGTACAATTCCCTGTCCCTGCACAGGCGGCGGCGGTCGATGCGCCTCCGAGAAAAGATCCTGCCTCTCAGTAGCCGCGTTCATCTTGAGCATCGTCTCCAGCATCTCTTTCTCCTGATTAATCGACGCCTGCTCCTCCATACTCTTAACCACAGAGAGCTGAATGAAGGTCAGTAGCTGCTCGCGCTCGAGGTCCTCCATGTCGTCTTCGTCCAGCTCGTCAGCGTCCTCTGTTGCCTTCTCTTCGCGCCGCTTCTGCACTTGCTGCAGCTTCTTCTCCATCTCGCGCTGCATCTGGAAGCGCTGGACCTTCTCGTCCCTCGATAATGAGAACTGTTTGCTCTCCAGTCGCTCGTATTGCTCGCGTCGCTTCTTCTCTGTCAAGAGACCAACATTCTCAGCACGGTCCAGGAACTCGGTGAGGAAGACGTCAGCCTCGCGTAAGAACTTGATGCGGTGCACCACGTTGCGAGTGTGATCGGTGGGTCCCGAGCGCTTCTCATCTCTCTCTGTCTGCTGGAAGAACGTCTGCTTGGGTGTGAGCATGCCTAAGTAGTACTCGATGCACAGAGCGTAGAGCTGCGTGTTTTGCAGCTCGAAGAAACGCTCATTAGCTGACAGCACACCGTCCAGTTGACGCTGTTGGACGCATTGCTTCAGGTACTGCAGAGTGCTAGTCAGCTCATCCTGGAAGGCCTTGGAGCTCGGGTCCGATACGGATGTGCTGGGGCTCTCAAGCGCCATAAAGCGGCGGTGAGCCTCCACGTAGCTCACTCGGTCGGGCAACGAGGAAGCCATGACCACCGAAGATGCGGAATTGACAGTCGATTTGCTCCTGAAGAGAGATGTGGAGTGGACCACATGTATTGCATACCACAGGAAGTGCTGACAAGCTGGCAATGGGAGACTCTGACGTACAGATAAAAGTATGTAAAGGGAGACAAAGTTTGATTCATTCTGGCAGTGTAGAATATTGCGTAGCATCATAGAGGTAGGCGATAGACGCAAAGAACATTTTGTGCCTTGACGAGAGATGGTTGATAGGTTGATTTCTCTTTTCTCATGTCCATCGCTTTATTCCTTGCTGCGCTTGCGGCTTACTCCTTCTTACCAGTGCCCGTGGCCATGGAAACCTCGCCACGAAGGATCTGCACGAAGCCGAAACCGAGGCCGACGAGCATGCCCTTGAAGAGGGGGCCGTCCGACTCGCGCTTGATGTAGGTGGGACGCTTGACGGTGGTGAAGAGCTTCTGGTCAGCAGCGACGTGGCTCTCCTTGTTCACGAGGCCGGAGTAGGCGCGCGTCTGGCGGGCAATGCGGGCGGTCTGACGGGCGAGCATCTTGTCGGTGGTAGGAGTCAGGGAGGGAACGAACTTCGTACCTGGAGCTTCTTTTCTTCACTGAAGGCTCCAAGCCCCACCAACGGCAGGAGACAAAGACATGGAGTCCCCCCACAACCTCACATTTTTAAAAACGGGTCAACAACCGGGGTATACGAACCTTGAGGTGTAAAACAACAAGAGACCGACTGTTTAAAGTCAGTAAAGTGGATAGGTTCGTGTAGATTTATTTAGGTGAATGTATACAGACGGTATACACATACTATTTTGGGTATACCGTAGATGACAAATAAAACACCCGCCGGTATCGTCTAAAATACTGTAATCTTTTTTTATCCCTGTATTTTGTAATGTGAATACGCCGAAAAGTGCCACAATTTGTCATGTCGTAGGGTAATTTATTCATGTCAAGCCGAAAACTCTTTTTCTAAAGTCAATCTAGGATAAGCCAGCAAAAATATATGCAGAAAATGTAAACAGAGAGGCGATATTTGCGTCAATAAATGTTTTTTTTTTATAGTTGAACCTCACGCTGGAAAGCTGACTTTTTGGGAGGGGGGGGGGGTTGCTGTCATCTACGATAAGTACTTCCTAAGGCGAAGACTATTTCCAGCTAAAAATAATGGCATTTCTTTTTGTTGTTTAGTTTTGTACGTGCCTTGACACCCCATACCAAGTCCTACATGTCCGTTCTCATCTGCTGCATCGTGCGAGCCAACATGTCAATATCGGTTGCAGCGCCAACTTGGAAGGGGTTACTATCCACCTGCAGACGAATTTCTGGGTCGTAGCACCAGCTCATGTACAGAGTCGTCGAAGTTCGGTATAGCGGACTTGGCATCGCGAGTTCCATACTTCCCATCTGCAGTCCACTGTTAGTTGGCGTACATAGCGACCCAAGTCGCTGTGCTGCCTTCACAGACAATTCACCTTTGCTCATGAAATAATCGACCCATTTCTGCTTGTAAACATTCGCGAGAAGATAGCCTGTGCTGTTTAGCGGGTTCTCGCGGAAGGGCAACAATACCAATTTGTCCAAACCTTCGATCTTAAAGATGTCCATCAAAGGAAAAGCCAATGTGTGCGACTGGACACGAAATCCTAGGGCCACATCAAGTAAACCGTCGATAAGCGGCTTGCAATCCTCAAAGTCATAGTCAAGTATCGAAGCTCCGAACACTTGAGTAGGCCATTCATACTATAGCCATAGTGAAGGCAATCACCGAATATCGAGCATCGACGAGCGACATCGTGGAAATCCTCTGGAATAAAATAATCAAGAACATTGGACCACGACATTGTGTACGGCCGCATCAAAGCGATTCGGGACAACAAGTGTTGATTCTCCAAGTCGTTGGCAGCCTCTCCGCGAACCGCCTTCACGACGCCGTAATGCACCTCGATAGTTAGTTTGTTCTTCCTCATTAATCCTCGAAGGCGGTCCAAATTCTGGATAATGTGGATGGTGAACAAATCTACCACCGATAGATTCTCAGTCGATTTTTTCTTCGTCTTCTCTTTCGCCGCGTAATCGTCCAGAATCTTCGTAAAATTCACGGTGTTGAACATGATATCTTCCTCGAGTGGTGGAGCACCTGACGGTACGTTCCACATCGTCAAACTGCCGACCAGAGGAACGTCAGTCGATTTCACGGAGGCTTCTCTTTTATTGTCTCTCTTTTTCTTGCGATTGCGTTTCTTCGTGGTAGTTCTCTGCTCACTTGTTTCCACAATTTCAGAATGATCTTCTTGTTGAGTCTCTACAAGAGAAACAGCATTTGGCGACGCATGGACCTCACCAGTCAGCATATACTGGGTCAAATCAAGTCGGTCAATCTCGCGGCGGAAGCAATACACCGCTGAAAACACTCGTTTGTTATATTTCTCCAAGTTGCGGAAGAATTCTGAACGCGCTTTCGAACCCGATATCGGTTTAGCCGACACCCAGTGTTTCAAGTAAGAAATCACCTTAGAGTTTTCGTTTTGGCCAGTTGATTCCAACACTTTATTAGCAGTTTGGCGGAAATGTTTCAACGTAGTCTCACTCCACGTGGACGAAAGCCAAACCTCCATGACGCTCCAGATCGGAATTTCCGGTAACGCGAGCATTTGAGCGACAATTTTACACTTGGCAACTGTAAATTCACTCATCTCGAACCCCACAAATTTTAAAGGAAGATTTTTCTTCTGTTCATCGTGAAGCGTGGCGGCCAGTAAACTGCTGAAGTCGTTAAAACCGATAGCAACGTGAGTCGTTCCGAAGAAATAGACCTCCGCACGGTTGATTGTTCGCAAAATTTGAGCGAATTCGAGCGTCATATGCAGGAATGTAGCCGCTTTCCACTTCTCTCGCATCGATAATGTCCCCAAATCTTAAGGACTCCGATCGATCATACAGAATCTGCATTGCAGCAGTCCCATGCCATCGCTTAATCATGTCAGCAGGGTCTATGTTGGCGAAATAAGCTCCTTCGCGCATGACGGACGCTGTCATCCATGGACTAGAGCTGGCATTCAAGTAAGCACGATACAAAGCTTTGCGGGCGAATGTCGCGTCAATTCCTGAAGGCCATCCACGCTGTTTCGGGAACTCAACATGAACTTGGGGCGGTGGGTTCTTCACAAACATCAGCACTTCACGTGGTAGCTTCTTTTGCTGTTGAGGGTCTGACGCAGCAAAAGCAAAGCGGGTAATATTCTCGAGCTTTTCCATCCGCGCAATGTATTCGTCGATGTCCTCTGTATCTTCGTCTCTAGAGCTCGTAAACACATTCTTCTCATTTGACTTGACTGCGGCTGCAATGCTTTCGGGACGCAACGTATCACGCTCTTCACGCTGCACGTGAGTTGGTGTTTCAGAGACTTTGTGGACAGATTTTGGCTTGTTATGTTGCTGTGAACGCCGTTAGATCTCAGCATCAGTATTTCTCTTGAATTCCTGAATCTTCTTATTCTCTTCGGTTCCAAAGGTTCCAAACGATGCAGTTGATAAAATGCTCGAATGGATCGCTTTCAAATAGCTGATACACTCCGCTTGCGTCATACCCAAGCTCTCCATGCATCGAACTCGCCGCGTCCAGGCTTTATGGTTCAGAGGAGAAATAATGCCAGCGGTGGTGGAATTTAGAAGCGCCATCTCAGCATTTGGTACCATGCCCTCCGATGCTTCAGATGAAGTACTAAATCCACGAGAACTGATACCGGGGACATCTTTGGAATCTCGGAACGTCATTAAGTGCACCGCAGCAATATTGTTCAGCACAAGTGACACATCATGGCAACAGGACGCACAAGCCGATATCCCCTTTCGATAACATTCTTCAGCAGCCTCCAAATCGCCCTTCGCAAACCAGTCAGATCCCTTTTCACGCCACACCTCGGCAGTCTCAGTGTTTCCAGAGAGCTCTTCGCCACACTTTACAAACCCAGGAGACGCCAACTTGCAACACCATTCTGCAAATGATCGAAATCTTGAAGTCTCCATTGCAGATCCCGTCTTGACTATATTTTGCAGCAGTTGCAGTTGCTTGGGTAAAATATTCGGTAAAGTATTACGGGCATGAGCAACCACACGTGCTGCAATCGTTTCAGCTCCATTTTCGCCTAGAGATGACGCTAAGCGTAGCCATCCTTTGAAGTTGGTAGGATCCAGATGAACAGCAGCACCCGAAAGTTGGACGATCGTACCGTAGTCTCCTTTTTTGAACCGACAAGTCGCGATGTTGTTGAGTAATTGGGCTAACGTACTAACATCAGGTTGCTCAGCTTGTATCGCACGCTGATAACACGCTAGCGCTCCACGACCTTCATTTTGACAATTTAGGGTACTGAAAAAATCATTCCCAAGATTTTTCCAAGTCACCAGGTCGGTTGGAACGTCCCGCCACGAAATTATTTCTTCGGATTCGTCGACACGAATGCCTACAGTCCCATCCATTCTTACTTTGTAATATGGCTCTAGCACCACAATCGCTCGTCCTTTTGGAAATCCGCTAGCCACTTGACACTGTTTCTCGAGTAACGGAAGCTCCGAGTCCAGTATCCCATAGACAGCAAGTTCCACCAAATCTCCCGTCACGTCTTCGAGAAGGAGTGACGTCGCAGAGATACTGAAGAAGGCGTCGTCGATTGCTACCCATCCGCACAAATATCGTCCTCGGTGTACTGTGCCAAGCTCCAGTTCCTCCACTAGCATGGGCTTGAGTGTCTTCAACAATCTCATGTCAGATTTTGGTTTCGTGTCGTCCAGAGTAAAACCCATTGGAACAGCCCCAGCTTTCAGTGCTTCTGAGCATTTTTTCTCAGCGTAGATGCCTCCAGGTCGAACGAATGTAGAGCGTTTCTTCTTAAACTGTTGGATTAGCCCCTCGCGTGTTCTCGACTGCTGAGCTTGCTGCTCCATCTCTTCTGCTCGATTTAAAATGTTCTGCGTGAATGCTGCCTGCTCTTGCTCAGACAGATTTGCTAGATGCTCCATCAGCTTTGACGGGTCGAAACTCATCGGAAACGCGTTAGATCCTACCTCAGCAAATGGACGAGTGAGTGGAGTGAAGAAAGCGGTCAGATTGTACCTTTACGAGAAAGGTGAAGCCTCGTCTCATAAACTATCGACTGATGCAGACCGACACAAGTCATGTCAGTTTGTCGTGAAATATTATTATTTAAGGTGGGAAACCGCGTGAAATCTTGTCGAGAACTTGAAGCTCGATCACGATGAAGCATAATTCTTTAGAAGATTGTTGTGCGCCAACAGGTCATAGGCAAACGCCGCAACCTCTGAAATTAAAAAAAATATATGTTCCGATGATTATCCTTCGTCAACACATCTCCTGTTGTGTACATGTATGCACGGCTGAAGCTGCTGGATACTACAGAATTCTCATGCATAATCTTAAAGTGCGAGTTGAAAGGCACCAAAGCGTCCGAACAAGGTCCAGAAATGGTGAAAGATGAAGAGGGTAGCAGATTAATCCCGCCGTCAAGGTCAACTCGGACTGCTAGCAATCACAGAATCTTGAAATCTATAGCAAGCGCTTGCGGAGTTGTTCGAGGAACACAAACGTCAGCAGCGTCTGCGGTCCCAGGCGCATATACGCTGGCAGCCATCCCTTGTACAGTCCTCGCAGTCCTTCGTGCTTTACCACCTTGACAAAGCAGTCGGTGGCGCTCTTATACTCATTGTGGTGCATGTTCATCAGCCTTGTTTTGACCACATCAGCCGGTGCACAGGCCGTCGTCGCCACTAGACCAGCCACCATACTGGCCAGAACGTGAGTCTGCAGATTGTCGTGCATCGGCACCACTTTGTTCTCGAGAATCGTCGACTTGGCCAAGTCGTAGGCTGCAATCTGTCCGGTCGTCAAGAGCATGGCACGAATCATATTGGGCCTCACTCCACGCATCAACGCCGCGAGTCCCTCCTCCTTCTCTACTCGAATGAGTCCGTCCACTGCGTGTTTGTAGTTGCGTCTCTTCTCGGGCGGCAATCGACTGTCCGCTTGCATACGGATATTGACAATATCTGCTGGGTTGCCAAAGGCTCCTCCGATGATTCCTCCGGTCATACCCAGTAGCACATTGTGGCCTGTGGAGATCGGTTGGCCGTCGTTACGGCGCACCGCCTCGTCCTTGAGGTAGTGGTAGACTGCAAAACGCATGGTGGAGTACGTTCCTTCCCTCATGGCGCCTCCAGAGATGCCCTGGTAGAGTCCACGTAGTCCCTGCTGCTTGAGGATGCGGCGGACAGCGGTCACCAGCCCCAGATTCTCCTTCTTGGACGTCTGAAGGTGGATTTTGAGCAAGTCGAACGGGTGTGTGAAGAACACGGCGCCCACCGCGGACAGTCCGCCGAACGTGTAGCTGGCTAGAGGTGGACGGGGCTTCAGAGTGATGGTCGCATTGAAGCTCGAGTCTTGGAGCTTGCTATGCGGCAGTTTAATTGTCGCGGTGGTGGACGAAGACATCGTGAGGTGGGCAGCTACGATAAGAAACTGACTGTGAGACTGACGTACTTGATTGGCGACTTTGTGGCCCGAATTGTGACGAAGTGCCTCGGGCAATGATGATTGGAGAAAACGACAATCGATTATTGGATGAAAATACAAATTTAATAGGCGCGTCATCACCCTGCTGGGACGAGGGGCAAATGTGAGCCTGTGTATATGACGAAAGCAATACACTCATATAATAGTGCTATCCTCCACTAACGTTTCTTTCTCCTGCGCGCGAGTAGTAATAATGATGCAAGAATATCGGTCGGTGCAATTAATACGCTATAGTGATCTAATCTTGCCCATTTACTTAGGCGAATGTTGACTGCGACACTCACCTGAGCCGCTATGATGCTCGTTGGAGTGTCATATTAGTAATCGCGGCACCGATGATAAGATCGTACGTAGCAAAACTTTCTTTAGTCGAAATCAATTCGTTCCTTTTGGACAGCAATTTGTACTCTTTCATCTACACTATGCAGTAGATTCACCCTAAGACGACTTAGCCGCATCGCTTTCCTCTAGGAAGGGCTGGTCAATGTATCCCAGCTCACCCGGCGCGTAGAACGTCTTCGAGTCGTACGGGTTTAGCGGCGCATCGATCTCTAGACGCTTCACAAGGTCCGGGTTCGAGATGAAGTAGCGACCGAAAGCCACAAGGTCGGTGTCGCCACTTTCCACAGCCTTGATAGCCAACTCGCGGTTGTAGCCAGATGCCGACAGCAAGACACCGTCGTAGATCCCACGGAAAGTACGCGTCATGGATCCGTCGGTCGCAGCGTTCGGGTTTTCGTGCAGCTCGAATGCACGAGGCTCGATGAGATGAACATACGCCAGGTGATATTCGTTCAGCTTCTTGATGACGTAGCCGTACATTCCAATGGGGTCAGACTCGAACTGGCCGAAACTCATACCGTAAGGCGACAGGCGAATACCCACACGACTGGAGTCTACCACCTCGAGAATCGCATCCAGAGACTCGAACAGGAAACGCGCGCGGTTCTCCATAGATCCGCCGTACTTGTCCGTTCGGTCGTTGATGCCGTCCTGCAGGAACTGTTCTTGCAGGTACGCATTGGCACAGTGGAACTCGACACCGTCGAAACCAGCAGCAAGAGCATTCTCAGCTGCCTTCTTGTAGTCCTGGACAATAAGCGGGATCTCGTGGGTCTCCAGAGCACGAGGTTGCACGTGCGGTTTGGGGCCTTCACGGGTGTAAATGTGAGTGCCGGACACGTCCACGTTGGAGCTGGAGGACACCGGCAACTCTCCGTTGGGCTGGCTAAGCGGGTGACTCATACGGCCAGTGTGCCACAACTGCAGGAACATGTGTCCTCCCTTGTCCTTGACCGTGTCAGTCACGCGCTTCCAGCCTTCCACCTGCTCCTGGTTAAAGATACCGGGGGAGCCGACGTAGCCCCGAGCAGTAGGCGAAATGTTGGTGGCCTCAGCGATGATGAGACCGCCCTTGGTGGCGCGTTGACCATAGTACGTGGCCGTGATCTCGGGCGGCACTCCTTCCTCGCCGTGCTTAAGACGGGTTAACGGAGCCATCACGACGCGGTGCTGCAGCGTCAATTGGTTCAACTTGCCGCCGAGTGTAAGGGGCGTGAAGAGCTTGGGTACTTGCGACGTAGCCACCATCGTTGTAGCCTGGTCTTAAAGGAGATCTGGGGCTGGGAGGGCAAAATCACTTGTGAGCAGAGGGGGATAATGGCACCGGATGTGCACTCGTCGACGATGACGAACATGCAACGGGACCAAAAATGATGATGGCAGACGCGTGTTTACATAGGACACTAAAGCGAAAAAAGTGACAGTGAATGATACCTGTGTAAACCGATCAACAACAATTTGAAGTCCTTGAATAATTTAATGAGATTCTTACAAAATTGCCGAGCTTCACTCAAAACTCTGTACACGCAACTCATTAGCTTTCATTACGAAATCGCCATGGACGGTAACAACATTCGTCGCTTTGAGCTGTATGCGTACTAAGTGAAGGTTAGCAGCGGCAAGAGTTTTCGGGTGGTGATTACAAGTGTTGTATTCGTGCGCCTTCAGTAGGAAAGTTTCGCAGTCGACGAAGGACGGGCTTGGGTACGAAACCAAAAAAAAAACTGAGCAGATTCGGTCATTCGCCGTACGAGCGGATGGACTACTTACATGTTTGTAAAACACAAGATAGCTAGATTCACTTCATGAGTTGGCAGTGCTGAGGTTTTCTCGCGTCCTTCCAAGCCTAAGAAAATGATTTCATTCCAACAATTACCTCCTAGCCCTTAGGTCGTCTTCCAACTTCGACTACTCTAAGGTTCTACCTACACGCTCACAAGCTTGCTACCTCGCTCTTCATCTCCTCCTCGCAACCGTTGCTCTCGGATGGCCTCCCCATGTCATGCAACATATGGGCCTTCCACTACGCTTTGCTCGACTAACTTTGAAATCGATCCATCCCGTCGAAATCAAGCTGATTCTAACTGGAATGAGGAGCAGCATCACGAGCAGCGAAACTCCACAGCAACGCTGGGGACTATCGCATGATACAGATCTTGAGAACGTAGCTCAACTCGTATCAACTATACTGCGAGCGATTCTGAAGTTGCTGAAGGTCACGCAACCTTTTTTTTTTTGGCTTTGTCGAGTATGTGAAGAATGGTCGCAGACTTGTTCTGTACCAAAACGACTGGGAGGCGTTGTATCGAATGTAGTTTTATGGTAACTTTATCTCAAAACGTGGGTCGGAAAAGACAACGATATCCGTCGCACAGTGAATCTTACGCGTTTTGTCGAGGATACAAAGGGTCGAGAAATGCAAGGAGCGCTTGTGTTAGGGCAATGCCGTTTGAGCTTGGATGGAACGATGGAGAGAGCGATACGGAGCATAGCTGTTTGCGTTCTACATCCTCTGCACGAAAATGTTTCAGGATTGGGAAAAGTTTTGCAGTATTTCGAAGTACTTAAACAGCAGGCCATACAGAGCTTCTCGGCTGAACTGCTCAAAGCATGCGGTCCAACCACCAGTGTTACATACCATTGTTTACGGTACGCTTGGCGCTCTGATTGCTTTGGTATTGTGGGTGTAGTAATGCTACAAACCCTTACTTAATAAAAAATATTTAGACCATAAATGGATGTCTTGGTATTGCAACGGACAAGAAACCGCTCGCTTCTTGCAGCAAAACTGGCAAGGACAAGACGCCATTATTTGGTCTGATCCTTTGAGAGCTGTAGACTTGGAGGAACGGCATCGATCAGTGTGCTATTCGCCACGCAGCATCATGGTCCGAAGAAACAGCTCAAGTGCATATCGCGACATGGATGAAGAGTTTTTCTCGTCGCTGGAAGAGGCCAATTACCAGTGTCACGAGTCTCCCTCCAAGAGCTCATGTTTCAGCTCGAAGCTGTCGGAATCGAAGATTCTGCACCAACGTTGGGAGAAGCGTCGAGCTGTGCGAGGCAAGGTCGTCGTCACGCTGAGCTTGTTGCTGCTGGCAGGCGTGGGGACTGCAGCTCTGTACACATCAATGGACACGACAGTGTTGGCGATGAAGATGCGGGGTGCATATCCAATATTTCGCGGCAGTGCGAGTGTACTGAAGGAGAGCGAGATTTATACAGGTGAAGATGTTCCAGACTTTGGAGATGCCATCCTAGCTTCCGATGAGACGGTCACTCAGCGCAAGACGAACTACGCGCTGGACAACGCAATGTTAGAAGAACTTGATCCATATGAAGAGTTTCGCCGGGATGGAAGACAGCTAGAAGCAAACTAGAACAGGCGAAAGTTCGATCTCTCAAACATATTACTAAAAAAATAGAATACTTGGTTCTCGTTCTCTTTAAGCTAGAAATCAACTAGACCGATAATCATTTTTTTTTTTCTATTTCTGCAAAATTGTGTCTACGAGCGCACTTCATCTAACGTGAACACTTCCTGGTAGTCGCTCGGAATCTCAAACATCTTGGGATCCAGCTGCGGGTTCAGTGTGATCTTCTGGAACGTGTACGCGACGCGGATCGTGAACATCATGGGCAGCTCAAACTTGACAGGGAAACCTGGAGGAAGTTTCTGAGGTCGAAAGAAACAAACAATTAGCCATCGTACAGCACACACTTTCAAGGAACTGCAACGCGTACCATTTGGAAAAACTCCTCGAGGTTCTTCACGTGGTCTCCAGTAGTGGAAATGAACTTGATAACAGGAAGGAAATCTCGGAGTTGGAAAGGAAAATTCTCCGTCATTACAACTTTTGCCTCGAAATCTTTGCGCATTCGACGCGTGGCTGGCAGAAGCGTCAGACTCCGGTACGTGTTCTTCATACCGAAAGCAGTCTCAACTGTACCGTTTCTCGAAGACGATGCGGTTGCTGTCTGATGTTTCTTGTCCTCAAACATCTTAAATAATGACTTCTTCTGCTGCTTGTCGTCAAGAGAATCTTTCGACTCACTCGCAACGTCATTGAGTTTGAAATAGTCCACGAAGGATGTTGTGGTAGTGATTGGGTTCGGGATGTGGTCTAACTGACGGAAAACCTCGCATTTCTGTTCGTCAGTGAGTTTTCGGGGTTTGTTGCTTGCCTCTTCTTCAACCTCCTCGGACTCCGGTGATGCTGCAGGCTCCACAGTCGCAGCATCTGCCGGGAGTTCGTTAGCAGCCGATCGAGTATGCTGAACATCGTACTTGATCTTAATGCCATTTCGGTCCATCGTAAATCCTTTCTGCGTATTCTGCCACATCAGCACGAAGCTGCCGTTGTGTTCGACTTCGAAAGCTCCAACAATCGCCATGTTCTTAACGCCATCGGTACGACATACAACTTGCTGTTGGTCCTCGTGGAAATACGTCGCGACGAAGCAGAAATCGCTGCTTTTTGCCAGAAAATCCCATCGAATCGTGTCTCCAGCGATCACATCCAAATGCATCTCCACTTTTCGCCCCTTTTCGATACGTAGAGTTTGTCCAGCATTCCCATCGTTACTACTGAGACTAGAACTCTTCTTCTGTGTCGATTTAGAGCTTTTCGTGTTCTTACCATGAGTCACAGACGACTGAATATGCTCGACAAACTGCTGCACTTCCTCGAACGGCGTGTCCTTGCCAGTGGGTAGTTGCTTAAGCTTCCGATCAGGCTTGACAACGGGTCTAAACTGCGCTTCCATTGAGAAATTCTGCATCTTGTAAGTAGTTCCAGGCCACGGACATTTCCTCTGTTTACTTCGACTTTTCTTGTTCTCTTCATCGTCTTGAATTCTACTCTTATCTCTCTTCCCTTGTGCCTTGACATCTTTTTGTTTAATAAATTCCAAGTTGGTCGCGTCCAAACTGGACGATGACATGGATGTAGTCAACGAAACTTGTAGAGCCATGTCCATATTCCCCACTGACGAGTTGTGCATGGCTTCCAAGACGTCATAGAACTTTTTACTGGTATGATCCATCACCACTGCGTGACCCGCTCTCTCCCCAGTATTCCTCCCCATATACACGTGACTCATCGGTCCTTTCTTCCACTTGACCCCGTCCAGTCCTTTTAGCGCCGAATCGATCCGTAATTGAGACCCGAATTTCCAGATACGGATAGTATCCGACGGTAAGACACTGGATACTATGGGCACCCACGACTGCGCCTCAATGAAGATTTCCGCTTCAAAGTCCGGAAGCTTCTCTAGTGCCTGCATGAACGTCTCTTGTGCCGACTCTAGCGACTTTATCACTTGCTTTTCGCCCTGTAGATACAGCTGAGCCAACATGTACTCATCGTCAAGCAAAGCGGCGTCGTGGGCGCAGCTCCAGCCGTCAGAATTGCGAGACGCGACGTTTGCATCGCGATCTAATAGCAGTTTTACTATAGCTTGTTGACGGGGCTGTACGATGCGCACAGCCAAGTGCAGAGCGGAATTCCCTCGAACGTCTTTGGTCTCCAGAAGGGTTTTTAACGCCTCCGCTTTATCAGGATCTCGGGATTCTTCACCTTCGGGACACACAGCGTTGAGGATACTGCGGATGCGCTCGATGTCGCCTTCCCATACAGCCACGTGCAGCGGCGGAGGAGCAGGCGTGTCATTACTTGAGCAACTCATTTTGAATTGTGGAATGTGTTTTTTTGAGGAATTGAAAATTGGATTTTTGCGAGTTCTAATGAATATTTTGGGATAATTAAGGATAGAAATGGGAGCGTGGGTAAAGAGTTGATGGATGCTGAGAAAAAAAGCTACCGGAATATTACGAGTCGTAATATTCCGGTAACTTTTTTCATTTACGAGACGAAATGTTATGAGCATTAATTTTCATTTTTCAGAATAATAGATCACGTAGGTTCAAATTTTGTCTGTTACTATATGACTTCTAGCTGTCTTCCGACCGGGTGAAACTCGTCATACGGATCTAGGTCTTCTAACATGGCATCGTCCTGTGCATAGTCTGTTTCGCGCTGAGTGGCAGTCACGTCAGTAGATAGCATGGCGTCTCCGACGTTTGGAACACCTTCACCTGAATAGACCTCGCTCTTTTTCGGTACACTCGAAGTGCCGCGAAATATTGGATATGCACCCCTCATCTTCATCGTCAATGCGGTCGCATCCACCAACGTATACAATGAGGCTGCCGCCACGCTAGCCGAGAGCAACAAGCTCAGAATGACGACGACCTTTGCTCGCACAGCTCGACGCTGCTTCAAATTCAGGATCATAGACTCCGACAGCTTCGGGCTGAAGAACGATTTCTTGGCTGGAGACTCGTGACACACGCCATTGGTCTCCTCAACTAATTCATCGCCCATGTCGCGATACGCACTGGAGCTGTTTCCTTGGTCCATGGTGTTGTGTGGTGAATACCGGTAGCACACTGATCGACGTTGTTCCTCTAAGTCCACCGTACTTGGAGAGGGATCAGGCTGAGCGATCGTATCTCCAGTTTACTATCTTGAACGAATTCCAAGCAGTTGGATTACGATTTACTAAACCGTCATCTGCGATGCCATCCCAAACGAGTTCCGACAGATAATATCGGAACTCGTACAAATTCTGTATTACGCTATACCAAACCGTGATCCGATGACCCGACACCTTAGAGTAAACTGGTTTGCGTGAATTCTGTATGTATTGCTACGCTCGACAAGGAGGGAGCTTCCTACTGCCTCGATCGAGGTATTCTCGGTCAGCTTGCTCACTTCGATTTTTTCCTTCCAGCTCTCAACACCAGTAACACCCACACAATGATGCGCGTGCACTACCTCGTGATGGTAATGATGGTTGCGGTCCTTACCAACAGTCCTGCCTCCGCGTCATCCTCGGGTTCAGCAAGTTTCGGGAGCTCAATGAGCGGGGACGATATCCCAACGACGATTACAGCGGGCTCAATGAGCGAGTACGAGCCGATTTCTTTTAATCGTGATCTCGCGGTGGAGCAGAATGAAAATAACGACAAAGCATCATTAAGGATCCATAGCGACGTTGATGAGAGCAGCGGTGAGGACGAAGAGCGATATTCCAATAAACTCAGTTGGAATCAGTTTGCGAAAATGCTGAGGTTAGTTTTTTAACTGAAGCAATTGCCAAGGTCGCGCACATTTTTGTCAGGCTGGGAGAAAAGTGTACAAGAAGTATGGCTGGAACAATCTCGTCTTCACCATTACAGTGCTGTGATTTCTACGCTGGTATGGGAATCGAAGAGTCCGTCCGCAACCAATATCAAAGCCAAGGTTGGATTGAGTTGTAGGCAAAATCGAAACAGACACAAAATAAACACTTTGAAAAAAAGAGCACAATTGGTACAAACCTTGACTTGGTGGGGAATGGTGAGGTGGACTGGTTACTTGACTCGTCAGTACAATAAAAAAACCCAATTCTACTGCTGCTACTCGCGTAGGACTCCACATCTACTCTTACTATTTATTTTTAAGTAAACCATAAGTACTTTATTAACTGTAAGTACTTTTGTAGAAGTAGAGCACGAATTCAATGCCATATCCATAAGCTGGCTATTCACTTACTTGAGTAAAAATCACAGCTTTTTTTTTTTTACATACAGCCGCAATCTAAGCAAGTAACACTGTGCCCTAACACAGTATGTTGCCCAGTTGGTTTGTGGGCCCAGTAACACTCTATTTGTTAGTGATATCTGTGGCATACTATGCGCGCAAGCTTGCTTCTTAAATTACCTGGTGGACTGCTCGGTGGTAGCAACCCCGAATGCGCTGGAAATCGGTATCCAGGTAAGCTTACCGCGTACATGTATCGTTGACAGTTCGACGATCAACGACCGAGATTGGTAGGGTTTCCTTCGAGCTTTGCACACTCCATGCGTGCCTGTACACTTGGACAAATGACCAAAATGGAGGATGAACAAGAGGTCGAACAGGAGCAGGAGGGGCAGCGGCATTCGCGATGTAGTTCGTTACTGGAAGAGCATTCTGCGACGGAATTAGAGCAGCAATTCCGCGAGGCAAAGACGACCATCGCTGTGCTTACCGAACAATTAAAGACTGCCTGGGAGACCCAACAGAAACTGGAGACGGAGCTGGCAGAGGTTCGAGCCAGCACGCCACAACTCATGATGGAGCTCGCGGTCACCCAAGAGCGACTCAAAGTTGCGGAGGAAAACCAAGCTCGTCTCGAGAAGCAATTGGCCGATTCTCAAGGCAAAGTAATTATCGATATACCGCGACTTGAGACGGAACTCGCCGTGGCGAAGGAGCAACTTAAAGCGTTTGATGACAAGTTTAAGGCGATGAAACTGGAACATTTGCTTCAACTGGAGAATATAACGCTGCAACTCAAGTCTATGGAGGAGAAACACGAGCTCCAGCAACGCGCCGAGAATCTATTGACCAAGTCAAAAGATCGAGAGCCTGAAGACTTGCCAACACCGGAGAAATTATACCTGGCACCTATGATGATCTTGCCGGACATGTGCAATGACTTGACTTGTGTAACTTTCGTTACTGGGTCCTCTCGAGAAGCTGTTGACGAAAAAATCCAGAGGTTACGAGGTCAGATTCTACCAGGTGCGAAGGCGATTCTCGTCGAGTCTGAAGAAGAAGCGGACAACATCAAGCAGTCGATCGTGGATAGAGGGCGCGAACTCACACAGCGCAAGCGAAACAAGAATCCGGTACGTTTTCCAGCTTGGATGTTATTCCCTGGTACATTATTGATTTTTTTTTAATTGTTACACAGAAATTAGCGGTTGAGGTCGAATTTCACAATGAGCCCAACAAACTTTGCACTCGTCATGCTGATGATCAAGCCACTACGCGTGAGGAATTTCTACGGCTTTTTACACTTCCGTTCGCTCCTCTTGGTGAACTAGTCGAACATATCATACCAGAGATCGCAACACCGGAGAAGACTGTCGATAAAGAACTCTCGTCTGTGGTGACTACAGCTCGTTTGAAGAAGATTGTCGAGAAGGCGACACCTCCAGCGAGTCCAACGTCAGGGGAGGAGATGGCTGAAGAGCCTCGGCCTTCTCGAATTCCGTCAGTGCGTAGCTGGCGTCAGCTTGTACGAGGACCAAATCTTCGGCTTTCGCAGCGTTTTGGGTACAGTTCGTCAGCTAGTGCGCGTTGAATCAATTGAGTGTCGTATTAGAGTACCATCATAGACTTCTAGTAAAATGGGAAAGGTGTTTGTTGTGGGAAGCTAATGGGAAAGGGACAAGAAAAATTCTTCCTCAATCCAGTGGCTCAGTCGACATTTCCCTGAAGACAGAGTCGCTGTCGCTCTTTGCTGACGATGGCGTTCCCATTTCCCGGTAGTGATCCAGCTACGTTGCTAGCATTTCTTGCAAGTTTGTCTGAGGGTGAACAACCAGTGTTGTTGGATGATGATTCCGACGAAGAAAGTGGCCAGACTCTGCCATTGAGTACACAAGAAGGGATGGTTCAGCGGTTTAAGATGATGCGTGCCAGGTTTGTTCGACCTGGAGGCATTGTGGGTGAACAAATGTTCGCTGGACACCTCTGCACCAGTAGTATGACACTTGATGGTGCTAAGCCAACGTCCGAATTGAGATCGCTGCAGGAACTGAAGCCGATGATTGGCAAAGAGTTAGAGCTCGGGACGACACACAGAGGCCGATACCTTTGCGGTTGGGTGGCTGTTGATGACGCATTCTTCGGTATTGCCTCGTCGTCGCTGATTCTTGAGGATGTTACGGGCTATTTGGTGGAGATTGCAGCCTACGGATTGGTGAATACCGAGCTTCCGCCACATGAACGGCAACGTGTAGTGGCAGGCAAGTTCCCTAAAGGACGACCGATTGTTGTTCTGGAGCCGTACTATAAGGTGCGAATGGATGGATCAGAAGGAGTTCGAATCGACCAAGCAGAAGAAATTATCCCATGGCGAGATGTGCCAACCGACTTGATGAGCTGGAAAACCCTTGGAAACGAGTTCTTTAGTATGATGAATTCCCAATACGAAGGAGCACTAGCGTGCTATCGACGTACCCTGAAAGCTGTACAGTCTGAAGTTCGTATGCTGGCAGTGCTACTCACAAATATTGCAGCCTGTCGCGTCAAAACGGAAGACTATGTAGTCTCCATCCAGCTTTCCGGTGCAGCTGTGCACCTCAATCCTACCTATTTCAAAGGTTGGTATCGCCTCGCGTCGGCAATGGCTAAAGTCGAAGGTGACGAGTATAGTGACTTGCTACCAGAACGAGTAGTTGCTCAAGCACGTAAAGCGTTACCCAACCTGTCACTTCAAGAAGAGAAATTGCTGCAAAATACGCTAGACGACTCGACATCCCATCACACCAAGCACTCCCAGTTTTGCTCATACGCGGAATGGTGCTTGAAAGTAGCAGACGCTGGATTATTGCTCACCGGTGGGGAAAAATCTGGTGAAGCAAAGACTGCGGATGAGTGGCGAAAAGAGGGATCAGATTATTTCGCCAAGGGTGACTTCGAATCCGCTGAGAAAAGCTATCGGAACGGGGTGGCGGCCATGACGTCATGCTGTCAGAATGTATCGGTAGTGCTGAACAACGTTGCTGCTGTTCACCTGGCGCTGCATCGAGATTCATCTGCCGAAGCGGACGAGATTCCCAGTATCGAGGCTGCAGTTTTGAATTGTACAGTTGCCGGAATAGTCGATCCTCTGAACCACAAGGCGTGGCTTCGTCGAGCCCGTTGCTTGGAAACCATGGGATTTAGTCAGGAAATATGCGTCCAAGACTTGTATGGAATCCGCGCCAACGTCGTTTTGAACGCCGTGGAACCAATGAAGAGCTCCGACCAGTTAAAGGTGTTCAGACGCAGTCTGGATGCTGGTATTCAGAAACTAATCAGATCAAAGTCTACCGAGAAGGAGTCTAAATCATCGAGAGAGGTTCAAACAGAACAGCATGAAGAGGATCTACCTTGTGACGTCCCAGCAGTCGAAGACTACGAATCAATTGATCAATACATCGCTTGCTTGGAAGGGTTTGTGGGGAGAACGCGCTTGGCACATGCCATATCCAAGTCGCAGTCGAACCCTCGACTCCAGCTACTACCTCTTGAGATGCAAATGTTCTTTGCACATCCGCCACCAGGAATCCATACCGAGTACCCAAAGCTTCGCGGATGGCCAGAAGGGATTAACACAACGCTTGCCCAGAAGCTTCTCTATCGCGCGTTCTTGGATGCCAGTGTGAACCCTTGGATCGATGCACTACGCATGCGTGATGGGTCTTTCTTTCGTAGTCTAAGCTGCGATGACAAGATCAAGCGATGGCATGAAGCTGGAGCGATGGAGCAGCTTCACGCAAAGAATCATGGGGATATTATTGACGCTCGTGAAGCACTGAGTGACTATGTACCGAGTTATCACGCGAAGACCCGATCCAATTTTTCAAACAATGTCAGTCGCGCAGATATCTATTACTTCGACTCAACTCACGTAGCAATTGGCTTCAATGATTTTAGTAGTCTCCTTGCCGCCACGCTATGTAAGAACTCAAGCCGCGACGAACCTTTGAGATATGTGGGGTTCGAGATGAGCGAATTTGCTGTCGCCAAGTGTAAAGTAGTTGCGTATATGCTTGGATGTCCAAGCGTCTCGATCTCAAGCATCATGGAAGTTTGGCTCTCGTCAACGTGGAGTGCGACCGCGTTGAAAGATTTTCGGGACAGTTTGAACGTGGTATTGGCGTCGCTACAAGAGCAGGAGGAGAACCCGAAGGTGTTGTCGTATTTGAAGCACTGGGCGTCTGTCGAGGCGATTTCTGCTACTGAAGCACGTTCACAGTTCTTTTCGAACTTGCACAAGCACAGCAGTAGAATTCTACCTGCGCTCTGCTGTTTCCGCCGTCAGATCGACCGACTGGACTTGACTCAGTACATGCTGAGTGGAGAGATCCGAGTATCTTCGGATGTTGCGAATCTGGTTGAGAAGGAGCAACCTGGTGCAACTAAAACGACAACTGGGTCGACTAAACAGTCGAAGAAGAAGCGCAATAGAAAGAAGAAAAGTACTAAAGGAACAACTGCGAAACCCACTAGTTCTGCACCACTGGTTGGAAATTTGACGATGTGGAATGTGCCTGTTGGTTCGCCTCCTCTTGATGATGAGATAGCGCTCAACACAGTGGATTTTACGAACTTGGTTGAGGACTATGTTGCGCGAGAAAAGAAGCAGAAGAACTCTACAAAAGGATTGTCAGTGGTGGATTTGTTCATCATCCATATTCTCAAGAATCTCCATCGTCTTCGCGGTCTGATCTTGGCCAATCAACTGGCTATTGAAGTGAACTACGGCGTCGTCAAAGCAGTTCGAGGAGATGCTGTGAACGATCCCGTGAATCAGGAACTGCTGGTGCGAATTGCCGAAATGCGCCCAGAGACTATCTCGTGGTCAAATCTACCGGACTATTTCTTACTCGAAGATTTTCATGATCTCGCTCGCCGCTGTTCAATATATGGAGACTGCATGCACTACGGATACAGCACGAACTGGCCGGCTCAAGTGTATGGAGCGTCAATTATTGACTATGACCCGAAACGTGGACGAGTGATGATCGATGCGGTGTTGAACTCAGCTCTCGGATTCTCGAGTGAGCATCGGCCAGTGCCTCCGCTTCCTTCCATGGTTGATATACTCACGAAGGAAAATCTGGACAAGTTGTTGTTTTTGCCGTTCCGCGAGCCTCCACTCGATGCCACGGCGTATGTTCTCGCACAAATGTACAATGATGATTGGATCGAGCACTTCGTGAAAAAGGGGGAAAGTATGACTTGGGCCTCACGATTTAACTGCGGCTTTCAGATGGGGACCAACAATCTGGCGGTCAAGAGTCCTCTCTATCGCTCACCATGTACTCTCTACATGGGCTGGTGCTACGACCCACACGTGCGTTTGATCGAGAAAGATCCGTTCGAATCCAACGCTATCCGTCATTTGGAAATGCTGGCTAGGTCGATGGTGATGAACGTTGGTGGGTAAAAGCCACTAGCTGACAGCAACTGGTGTTATGTTATAGTGACAGGATGCAGCGGTAACTCATATTCATTTGTCTTTCAATGTGATTTTTTTTTATTTTTGAAAATTAACACCTCGGACAATGTTGACATACTACCAACCACCCTACGCGTCACGTGCTTCTTTGCCCTGCAGCAAAGCTGCCAGCGCTCCGACAACACAGCGGAGACCGTCCTCTTTCTCACTTTCATCCACTTTCAGCTTGCAGAATCGTGCTCCTTCAGCTCCCACCTCCATCACTTGCCACGTCAACAAATCCGATACAATCCCATAGATATGCTCGTCCATCTGAGGGTCTTTTTCCAACCGTTCGAGCAAAGCCGTCTCCGCAGTGATGACCATCCGTGCGATCCCCTTGTCAAAGTTTTGTTCGTCGCATTCCACAACGATCGCGTTTTCGAGGTTTCCATCACGAAGCAAATCCACTCGACCGAAGGACTCCAGAGCTTTGCCCTTGAACAAAACATGGCGCTCAATCTTTGTTTGGCTGGTACATTCGCGGCAAACAGCTCGCATCACTGCGTCGATTAGTGTTGTTTTATCTTCGTCCGACGCTGTTGCAACATTTTCCATTGAGCTAGTCTCGATGATGTCGTCCACCGTTGACAAAAGCAGTTCAAACGAAGGCTCGTTGAGTGGCATGGGATCGATATCGAAATGTTTGAGCTGGTGATAATCTGTATCCTCGTAGACCTTTCGCAGGTTTTGTTCCCATGCGACGTCGTCGAAAGCAGCTCGAAAGCGCCTCTTTTGTAAGACACTGGTATAACGCTCAACTGGCTGCTCCTTCACCAGCATTTGCAAGGAACAGATACGCGCCTTGTGTGCTGCACTCGTAGGCATCTCGTACTCGTCAAAAAGCTTTGGCTTGGGAGCCACTGGAACAGTACGTGCCATGACGACGAGAAAAAAATGCAAGGGAAAAAAAAAAAAAAAACTCAAAAAATGGGAAACGTCAACTTCAACTAAAACAAAAAAAAAAAAAAAACTCAAAAAATGGGAAACGTCAACTTCAACTTGTCAAATTGAAAATGGGCAGATATGCTCCCCATTTTCATCCAAAATTGGGTAATTATCTTTAACTTGTAGTTTGTATGCTGTGCACGCTCTCCCTCTGCAAAAAGTGGCGGGAAAAAGACCCGCGCAAAACTCTGCCACTTTTTGGCACAATCGCTTCGACCGGATCATTACCATGAGCGGCGAGGAACTGGCGCTGGAGACGCAACTGCTGCTGCAGGAGGCGACGCAGATCACGCAGCAGGCGTCCGTGGAGAGCGTGCTGGAGAGTGCTGGCGCTCCACCCCCGGAGACCGAGTACGAGGCCGCCAAGAGCGCTCTACTGGCCAAGCTGCGCAAGAAGAAAGAGGCCAACCGTGCGCACCACCAGCAACTCAACCAGCGCCGTCTTGGGATGCAGACGCCGCAGTCTGTGGTCAAGAAGATCGATATGTTCTCGCCACGCAAAGCACTTAAGCTGCCGGTGGCAGCCACAGCGACTGCAACGTCTCGCAAGAAGCAGGACATGCTGTTTAAACTCCGGACGCAGGCCATTCAACAAGGCGCACAGAATATGGCCGAACTGTTCGGGTATGCGAGCTACGAGGACCATTTCAAGGCTTTAAACGAGGAGGAAGAGAAGAAAATCCTGGCAAACGAGAAGCTAAAGGAGAAAGAGGAGAAAAAGGAGAAGACACAAGAGGAGGAAGAAGTGGACGAGGAAGAGACAGAACCCATGGACACTTCAGTGGAGCCTACAGAGAACCCACAGGAGGACAAGGAAACGTCCCCAACGCCTGTTGTGGCTGAAAACCCGACGCCAATGGAGACGGAGAGTGTGGAACACGAGGAGCAAGAGGAACAGGAGAGTGTCAAGGTGGTACGACGTCGTAACAGGATCCAGAAGCCCGCTGCTGAAGAGGACGGCAATGAGGCAGACAGCGAACAGGACGATAAGGAGGGAGACGACGCAGATGAAGACATGGAGGACGCAACAGAGGCTGTGGAGGCTACGAACGACGCAGAGAACAGTGAAAAAGCCAACTCTACCGCGTCCTCGACCCCAAAAGACAAAGCTGCCGCGTACCGCAACTTGTTGCGTGCTGAGGCACTGCAAACCCGCAAACGCAAGCGGTTAATTAAGGGCAGAGACAACTTTGTCGAGTCCGAAGCCGAGGAAGACGAAGAAGAGGACGTGCTGAAGATCGGTGGACTGGGAGATTTCGGTTTTGGCGTCCCGCAAGCGAAGACACAGGAGTCCAAGGAGGCGGAAGAAGAGCGCAATGCTCTGACGCTCCGTGAGGGAGATCTGGACCACATTGTCGACGATCTCTCGGACGATGAACGTGCTGAGCAGCAGGACCTGGAAGAAATGTTCCGACGGGAACAGGAAGACCAGGACCGGCAGCAAGTCAAGGAGGTTATGCGCAATGTGAAGGAGGGATTCGGTCGCAATCGCCGCGCGTTCTCCGGTCTCCACTCTGGCTCTGGAGCTCGTGGTCGCTTCAATCTGGACGAGTTGGTGGCTGCTGACGGCAGCAAGTTTGAAGCTGCGCGTCTGGGGTTGTTGGAGTCGGACGAGGAGCTTAGTGAGGATGAGAATGGCGAGAAGAAGAAGAAAGAAGAAGAAGACGAAGAGGCCGAGATGGAGCGCATGCTGCGTGAACGTTTCTTGAACCAGCCCAAGATTTACGTGACGTCGTCCGAGTCTGGCAGTGACGATGAGGAAGAGGATGAAGCCAAGAAGGACCACGGACCGGATGGAGATGAAGTGGAGTCGGATGAGGAGCGAGAACGGCAGCAGATGAAGCTCTTCTCGGAGCGAGCTCGAATCAACCGACGTATGCAGCGAATGAAGGATCTGCAGCGTCAGATCACACTGGAGAACAATGAAGCTGACCCGAATGCGAAGACTGCGATGCCCAATCTGCTGCTGGAAGAGGACGAAGACTCGCAGGAATTGATGCACATGATGAACCGCACAGACGTCGATGAGACAACAACTGGCAATACTCAGAAGAAGACAAGAAATGATCGGTCTCGTCCGAAACTCGGTCGGTTTAACTCGTACGGGGGCATTACGTCTGCATCTCGAGGCTCGTCGTCGTTTAGCCGCGTGATCGGCCACTGCAAACTCTTCAGCGCCAACTCGGTACGCCTGTCTGTTGTTATTTTATTGCAATTATTAGGCTAATATTTTTTTTATTTATTTATCTGTAGACTGGAGGTGGTGCTGCATCATCCAAGGGCTTCGTGTTCACCTCGTTCAGCTCCGATAAGGCGGAGGATGACGATGAAAATGCTGCTCCTAATAATGATGAGGCTGTGCCAATGACTCGTCCAGAACTTGGCAAGAGCAAGAGCTGGAGCGGCGCAAAGGCAGCAAAACGACGCGGAACACCGGGAGCTAGTGGCAAGACAAACAACAAGAAGCGCAAGAGCGGCGGCCTCTTCTCAGTGCTCTCCTCGTTCCAATGCGTGTCCAGCACGAGTCAAGAGTCCTGAGTGTAGCCATCCTAGAACTGTATTCACTATTTGCCACAATCATCTGACGTGCCAGCCATATGGGTTCGCTTGAGATGGAAATAATCCAGTCTTTTCTGGGTTTTGTTGTTGAATTGACACAGAAGAAGATGGGTTATTTCATTGATTCTGGTTGTAAAAGCCCAGTTGAGATAGGGTATTGACGATTGACGATTGGGGATCGGACCAATCAACCCCGAGACGAGTCAGTGTACGGGCGCTGCTGGGAAGGAGGCTGCACCATCGTCTCGACACCTTTGCGAGTCCAACGGAGCGCCATTCTCCGAGAATCCGCGGGTGCTGGACGCCATGTCGTCGTCCCATTCGCGCCCGCAAGCAGCCAGCAACAGCAGCGATGACAGCAGCAGCGAGCGCGAGAGACACAATGACACTCGGGGTTCTTCCTCTTCCATGGATGGTTCGGTCGGCTCTGCGACGATCAACGGGCCGTATCGCGTGGGCAACTCAGACGGAGATACCTGCTCGTACCACGCAGTGCACGAGGGCGAGTCTTGCCGCAAACCGCGCACATGCTACGAGTGTCTGAACTCGGACGTGGCCGGGGTGAATGACGGCTGCCTATTGGCGCCCTCGGGCTTCTGCGAAGACATGTCGAGCTACGATTCCTCTCTGGACTATCGTCGTAACACCACAGGCGAGGATCTGAGTCTCACAGGCTGGTATAACTACTTCCCGTCGGTTAATTCCACGTACTGCGAGGCGACGGACGAGGCCTGTGTGCTCTGTGACGAACTAGTGAATAATGGCAGCTTGAGCCAGGCATCGCATTGGGGATTTAACTCGGAAAATGTATCGTCCGAAGTGGAGCGACAGTTCTGTATTGGCTCGGACGGCTGCGTGTGTGTCATGGCCTGCGAGACGGACAACTGGGAGACTAATATGCCGGCGGAATGTGACGCTAACGGCAGCTCGTCGGCGGGTAATAATTCATCGGCGGAGACCACGAGCTACAGCACCATGTTGATATTTTATTTGGTGTTGCAAGTGACTCTACTTGCGGTTTTCATGTATAAACGCGGCCTATGTCGACGAATGGCACCACAGCGCCCTCCGCCGCGAGCAGAGGGGCCGTACAATAACGTGAACGCTATTACGTCACCGTCGAATAGACTGCGGCTCTCAGGGTGGAAGAAAATGCAAGATACGTTGATCGAGCGAGAGAAGAAGCAGCGCGCTAATCAGCAGCCCCAGTACATGTCATCACCTCGAGTAGAAGGCGCGACTACACAGGCTGGAGGTGGAACCACGCAGGCACAGCCTCTGTCTCCTCAGATTTCGGCACGGAATAGTGAAACAGCTCGAGCGGCCTACACTCAGGTCCAGGATGAACCCAGTACTGCTACAGGCAGCAGAGAGCGGAACAACAGTGCTCAAGCAGCGAGTGTGGATAGCGACGTTGTCGTTGTCGAAGGGTCTTATGAGGAGAGGACAACTGGTGCCGGGGTCACGCGGACTGAGCGTACGTCGTCGACCGTCGCAATGCTCGAAGCCCGGCGGGATGCTGCTTAGAGCTGGCGATGTTTTTACGGTCTTCCTCTTCGTTGTCAAAGCAATTTTGGTGTGCACTATGCAACGTTAGATGGTCTATAACTTAATGAACGCAGGGCGGTCAAGTTATCACTCGCTCCTGCCTTTTGGTACGCTTATCATTATCCTTCCTGTCGGTTGTGGTAATGATCTCCTGCATAAATAATTTTTTTTCGAGGATAATAATTTCTTCCGCTCCAGCTTAAACTTTTTCATGTCCTACATGAACAAAAGTTTTCAGTTTTGCTACGAATGACTCACCTATAGTTTAACTATTGCAAAGAGTCGAATGAACCATTCGAGTTTCTGTCTTCCACCATTCAAAGGCATTTGGAATGACTATGAATGGTGGAAGACAAGTTGATGACCAAGAGGTTCAAGTCGGTTCCTCGATTACGGACCGTAATCGATTGATTTACTGACCGTAATTTACGGTGCCCTTGCTCAGTAAATCAATCTTTATATCCAATCAGACAGCGTCATTTTCAGATTTTGCCCAATTATCTCACTTCAACTCCCAGAGTATCACTCTGGCAACTGACGCCGATCAGATGCCGGATATCTGCCAGCTTTACGCCGCTATTTGAGCTCCTGTCACAAGTGGAATCCTCGCTCGTGACTCTGCCAAGCCTCAGCGCGTCGCAATGGCGTCGAATTCCGGTTCTAGTGACTCTGTTATTGGGTATTCGACGAGTTCGAGTCGCACCAATTCGGATTTGGATACATGCGCGTACTACGGTCTAGAACCGGGAGAAACGTGCTTCACTCACCGCAGCTGCTACGACTGCCTCAATGTACCTGTAGCCACCGATCCAGAGGGCTGTGTGCTGTCCCAGTTCGGCTACTGCATGTCCATGGTGTTCTACGACTACACACTGGACTACCGAGTGACCACAGGCCCCAATGCAGACAGTGGCAGCCCCTACAACTTCAGTGGAGGGCTCTACCATCAGTACCCAGCGGTAAACACAACCTACTGCGAAGCAACCGACCCAGCATGTGTCGAGTGCAACGCCATTGCACTGAATTATTCCCGACAAGACAATTTTCTGGCCAGGTCGACGAAATTTTGCCTTGGGGAGTCGGATTGTGTCTGCGTATTGAGCTGTGAACCGACAGTGTGGGAATTAAGAACGGTGTCGCTCTGTGATGACGCTGATTCGTCCTCCATTGCTGCCTCAAACTCAGATTCGAGTACGTCCTGGACTCCGTTTACGACAAGCCCGTCGATTATTGTCAACCGGACGAGTAGTAATATGGCGAACTTGTACTGGGTGCTGGCTGTGCCTGCATTCATTGTGCTGCTCGTGGCGCATTATTTCATTCGACTCAAATGTGAGTAAAGGATTCGCAATATGGGGAGGCAATATAAGAGACTGACCGTGTTTGTGTTGTATATGTTGCAGTTAATGAGTATCGAAGGAGACAGTTACTGCGGATACCGAGACGATCTCCTAGAACTCGGCTTAGGCTGTCAGCGTGGCGGGCACTACAGGAAGATCTGATTGGCAAGGAGAAGGAACCGGTAGATTCCGCTGCCTTTCATATTGAACCTATTACGGGTGCACAAGAAGAATGAGCTAGAATGAGTGAGCGCAAGGGATACGAGGTGTTGCGCCCTGAGCTAGTATATGTGTGGCCTATGAGCCTTCTGCTTGAATGCAGAGAGGACAACGTGCTGTGATAAGTTTATTGTGTCTACCGTCAAAGCCTGCCTAGTTCACGGCAATGGATTGCAGTTTGCTAATTTATATTTGACTGTATTGTACGTGCTATGCATCGGTTTGGTACACCGGAACGGGTCACAGATGAAGAGGGCCAACTTGGTTAGTGATGCTGCTGTAATCGCTATAACTCGTACTACGTCCACCATTGTTGGCCAGAAAACAATGCAAACTAGAGTTTATTACTGTGGTTTCGCAGTGTAACGAGACTGTACAACTTTCTCAAAAACGCATAAGGCCTTTTCAACGTGAAGGGGGGGGGGGGGGGGGGCTGTGATTATGAATCGTGTTCTGCACCGAACGTAGAACGCTGTTAGATAGAGACAGCAAACCGGACTTTGGAAAACCTAATATACTTTTCAACCAACTTATCGATCACTGGAATTCATCAGGGTAGCACCGATTTGGCGAGATTCATCAGAGAACTAATGCGACGACATGCGTTTTTCGCGGTCAGCGCAGACCACAGTCACCTGGCAGCCCAACGACAAAGCTGAGCCCAATTCAGATGTCGTTCAAGTGGTCAGCTCACGTCTGTGAGCGAGACTTGTACGTGTGCTTTTTCAGTGTCATCATGATTGAAACAGCGCATTTGTATAGTGTTGTAAAAGAATCAAGCCAATATCAACGCCTCTTTACCCAGACCCAACTGTACCTACTGCAGTTTGACAACTTTATTGAATGTGTATCGGTTACGCCCAACCTGGATACATCTTGTCCAGGTTCGACGTAACCGATTCACTTAGACGTTAGCACATTCAATAAAGTTGTGGATGTAATAGCCGTACACCCACCGCTCTGACCACACAACCAGTAAGCAACGAGGTGGGCTCACCAGTAACCACCACTTCATTCTCCAAATAGCGTGGTGGTGTCTAGTTCTTGAGCTCACGAGTGGACACTGAAGCTGGACAAGCACCCTTTTCCTCGTTGAAGGTTGTGTAAATCCATGTATCAGTTTTGGAGTATCTACGAAGATTCCTCGTGCGATGGAGCTCCGACTGGTGTCTACATACTCAGTAAAAACGACTGTGAAGACCACCGTGCATCGTCCAGTGGAGTCAACTGTCTTGCTCAGTTTGATAACAATGAAGGGCTTATTGGCTACATCGACGAAAGTTGCTACGCTGGCCGCGCCGCAGGTCTCGCCGACCTCTACAGAGATGAGCCCTATATGGCATACGACTATTATTTCGACGAAAACTGCAGTGACTTTGGAAACGCAGCTTCGTACCGAACCAGTGGCGATTGTGAACCTTTGTTTACCTCTGGCGATGCTAAAGAGCTATATAGAAGCGCCACGGTTTCAGTCTCGGATGGAAACTTGATATGGAAAAGAAACTGGGGATCTATGGACGGTGCACTGCATTGTCCTGGATCCAGTGGTGAAGGTTATTACGAGTTTGATGTTCCCATGGCGGAAATTAACAACGGCATTTGCAAGAAGTTTGAGGGCATTGGTGGAAAATTTGCCTTTTACAACTTGTCGGAGGATATTGATATCCGCCAAGACTCCGGCTCATCTTTGTCATCTTCTTCGTCGAGTAGCTCTTCGGGCTCTAGTTCCAGCTCGATTTTATCGTCGTCAGCGTCAGATAATGGCCTCACTGCTGGTACTATTATCGGTTTAGCGTGCGGTGGTGTGCTCGTTCTTGTAGGTTTTATTGCAATACTACGCTGCATCTGTAAAAGACGTGGGAAATCCGATACGAGATCAAATCAACAACCCTTCATTGACAGAGGAAGTGTTTGGACAGGAGGACCCACCGGGCCCACCGACGGCTCCGAGCGGTCTACGATCGGCCACGGACTCTGGAACGACAATGTCATTATTGCTACTCGGGTTCCTCGGGACCAAGTGGTTGTTCAAGGTCTCATTTGCCGTGGAGGCTTTGGAGAAATCTTTCGAGGAACATACAATCGCGAATCTGTCGCGATTAAAATGCTGTTTCCAGAAATGCGAAATGACCTGAAAAAGGTCAACGATTTTCTATCAGAAGCCAAACTGATGGCGGGTCTGGTTCACCCCCACATCGTACGATTCGTTGGTGTCGCATGGGGGTCTCTTACTGACCTCTGCGTCCTGACGGAACTGATGAAGCGAGGGGATCTGCGAACTTTACTAAAAGGCTATGAAGCACGAGGTCACCCTCAAGGCATCGACGAAGACAAAATCCGCATCGCCTATCACATCGCACAAGCGTTGACGTATCTGCACTCACTCGCTCCCATTGTGATCCATCGTGATCTGAAGTCCAAAAATGTTTTGCTAACGGAGGAACTGGATGCGAAACTCACCGACTTTGGCGTATCAAGGGAGCGGCAAGAGAACACAATGACAGCAGGCGTCGGCACGATGTTGTGGATGGCACCTGAGGTGATGATGGCCGATCATTACGATGAGAAAGCGGATATTTTCTCGTTTGGTGTGATGTTGTCGGAGTTGGATCTTCACTTGTTACCATATTCGCACGCAAGAATCGATCCGAACACTGGGAGGAAGGTACCAGACGCGGTGATTCTGCAAAAGGTGGCGACTGGTGCCTTGCAAGTGTCGTTTTCATCCAGCTGTCTGGCTTCAGTGGTGGAGTTAGCGAAAGAGTGCATTGCGTTGGACCCGTCACGTCGTCCATCAGCTCCGATGGTAGTTTTCCGTCTGCAAACTATCATGAAGGAATCTTTCGGTGAATGAAATCGTGTATAAGACATCAACTTTGTCGTTTTCGTTTATTTACGAGCTGGTACGGTAAACTAGATCGCCTTCAACTTAGCTGGGAATACACTTCTTTATACGTAACGAAAGATACATACATGAAATAGATATCAGAGATTTAGTCACGTGCGTAGTTCATTATCTGTTTGTAGAACCTTTATTCTGCAGGCTCCATTTAGATGCTAGCAAACCGATGGACAACAACAACATGTTCTGGTACTATGGGATACAAACAACGTAAAAGAGAAAAAAAAATACGGCTCCAATTAGCCAAACACCTTGAAGACCAACGGTCTAGCAACTTTTACATGCAGCGCAAGTCCCAAACTTCATTCGAGGGGCCAACCCCGGGTGGTAATAGAACGATTCAGGTTGCAGGAAGCACTATACGCCCATTTGTTTGGGTATAAAATGACATTTTCCAGAAATTTTTCAATACATACATAGAATCTTTACTGCTGTAAATTTTAGCAAGCTCTCGTAGGTTATTCACGGGCCGAATCAGCCCCAAATGAAGCGGTGAAATAGATCAAGTGCGTAGTTTTATCGATATTGGGTTCTAGATATACAAAAAAGTGTTTGTAAGCTCAACTTGCCACTTTAAACAATTTGCTAGTGTGGTCGTCCTGCAGCCAGTGGGAGTAGACCGTGCTTTGAGGTAGTTCTTGAATTGATCTTTACGTGTCAATGCTTGCTTCACAGGCTTCAACGGCTCGAGGTGCGATACATTCTGCAAGCGTAAAACTGGGTCAAACCGACAGAAAACATGCAATAATGAACAGGTTACGCAAACAAATTCTGTTTCCTTTTCCCTTGGTACTTCGTCTTGGAGATTTGGTAATCTGCGTTTAGGCTGCCTTCCTTGCTAGTTTATACTGTTTTAATTCGGTAACGTTATTAATATGATGAACTAACCTTTAGAAGCGACAACGTAGTCACTCTTCTCCTTGGGCTGACGAAATGCCCCCGCCGGAAGCATGGCAGATGTTAAGTCCTCGCGAGTCCAAGCAGGTTAGACTTCTACTCACACAAAAAAATGCGTGGCTAGCAACCCTGCGAGAGCTCGCGACCAAAGACCGATAGCTCTTAATTATCAGATACGGACACCCTGGCGCTTAAACATGCTAATTATGCTCAACGTTCAGCTTACAATTTGAGGTCGGCTGAATGTTGAGCGAGATAACATCGGTTTCAACTCTATTTTTTGGTTAAAAAAAAAAGCGCGCAGCAACCCCCCACACGACGTAAATTACAGTAAACCGGCACTACTCGTTCTTACTGAATGAAGTTTTGTCCAAACAACCGACGAAAACGTATTCTTTAAAAAAGGTTGCTTAAACATATATTTTGGAGTTCAAGCAAAATCGCAAACATTTAGTTAATGTGCTGTAAAAAAATTCAGGTCAGCGGAGTGCACTGCCCGTGGAATTTATTTTACTGTAAGTAGTCGTTGTCAATATTCGACAGGTACCGTTTACAGGTTGTTGCTGGGCTGCAGTATTACCAATACTAATGTAACACGTCTGGGGTCGCCTGCTTGCCTGCGGGTCAGCTTCACGAAGCCTCCCGCTATCCCGTACTCTCGCACCGTCAGCAACTCGTTCGTCTTCTTAACACCGTCCAAGCAAATAATCCCTTGCGTCACTCACGACACATTCAACTCGCCCCAACTCGTCCAACACTCGTTCGCCGAGCCTTTCGTGCTCTCACTCACGCCGTCTAACTCAGTAGTAAGTACTACCTCCGTCCCACAAGACATTTAACACTTCTCTTGACGCCTGTTAAATTTCTAGCAAACAAATCTAAACTTCGCGAAGCCTCAAAACATTAGCCAGGTGTGCGTGCTTAGGGTCGGTAGCTGCAGCGCTGAATTAACGCGTCGTAAACAGTAGATAACATCGCCGGAATGAGGCGATAATTGAGGCATCTGAGCAAAACTTACGCTATGCAATCAATAAAAAAGGCTACGTCCACCAGGGTTGTACCATCGACAGATTATACACTGGCGCATCGTTTTGGACTCATCCCACTAAGTAATATATCCTCCAATCGAAACCATTCTTGATTTAAAAACCGCTCCAATTTCGAACTAAATGGATATTAACATATCGATAGGATATTTTCGACCAATACCCAAGTAGTATTGAATTAGACCAAGGTTTAAGACTGCCAGCCCGTGGATTTTCCACATCTACACAACAACATCGTCCAACGCTGCCTTCCCGATTTTTACTGCCTCGCTTGAGCATGGCAGCGGGAGTGGGAGATCTCCCAGCCGAACCCACTTGTTCTTGCCTAAATGTGGAATCTTGTTGGTGTTTCCACCGCGGTCCTTGTCCCAACACAGATTGTAGCGTTAGGAATGACTTACTTAGCGTCACAGACTCGAGCTCAACAAAAGCTGACTCCACTACATCAACTAACTGCTCCACGTTGTACGCTCGCTTCTGATATTGAGGAGCTTGGATACTGGAAAAAAAAAAACCAAGGTCGAGTACATTGAAGTCGGGGCTACGTGGCGGCTGGTTGCGAAGGGTAATGTTCCAGCCGTCAGAGCAGGCAACCGCTTTCACTGCATCTGAGTATGCACTACATGTACCGTGTGGCGTCGCATTATCTTGCTGTACCGAGACCGTTTTTGATCCTGATAAATTTATAACAAATAAATTACGCGAGTAAAAAGAACAAAAACAAAAACATTATTGAAAAACCACTTGGTCTTGATTACAGGAATAACCTTGTCGACAAGGTACTTCTTGTACCATACCTTGTCGATCGAAGCGCATTTCAGCTCAGGAGTACCAGCTGGACAGTTCTTCGATGAGCGTTTAGCCTCCACCATCTCCACGAACGGCCAGCAACCCAGCTTACCATCAAGCCACGTAGGCTGTGTGGGTCATACCGAGGTCGACCAACAGCTACCAAAAAGAGTACTTTGGTGAGATGATTGAAGTTAGGACAGCAAAGTGCGGAACTTTCTCGTTGTCTGTCAGGTAGTTCGACTTTTTATTTTAGAAATGTAAAACCACTTTTCATCAATATGAATTGTGTCATTCATAGAGTTGAACCTGTACGTTCCTGCTGCACAAATAATACAAAAATATGAAATAATGTCAGAATTATAACAATAAAATTTCATTAGAGCAGTGAACGTACCAGCACCTTCCTCCACAAATGAAAGTGCAAACTCGATGCGCTGGTGCATTTGATCAGACGTCAGGTATGGCTTCACAGGCCCCGTAGCTCGACGAATGCCGTCCTTGTTCGCCTTCGCACGCGCGAGTGTGGTTCTAGGAATCCCAGTGGCAGCTGCCAAAGCTCGGTAGGATGTCCTCTGGATGGCAGGTACGGCCTCCAGCGCCTCCTGAATGGCGTCAGGAGTCCACACTCGGGCTGTCTAAAACTAAAAATCGTAAGCTGATCTCAGCGTTCTACAAAATCTCCGAGATAAGACTTGAGAAGGATATTTCACCCAACAACAAACAACCTGGGTCGTACGAATATTATCAAGGTGAAGCACTATAGTCTCACCTTTATGATAACTATTCTCAGGACGAACTCCTCAATAAAATCAGAAATATTCTAATGGAGAAGGATAAAGCTTTCAAGATCAATGTTCAACTTGGGTACGCGCTCATTGATCGTATAACGGGCCTTGAACGTTACTACTATTCTGGTACAAATACATCAAATTTTGACCTACCAGTTGCTATCAACTCAGTGTGGTGTGGGGATTTCTAAGTAATCGCTGAAGTGGTTACATTTAAGTTGATCGAGCCACGAACGCTCGGTCATGCGAAAAGTGGTGACTACGGTGCAAGATGGCCAAAGGTACGTCACTACCGAACGCTCGTCAGGTCCGACTATGACCAAGATGTCACTCAAGTCGGGCGGTCCGTATCGGTAACGCTGGATTCGCATTCAGCGGTCAAGAACCGACGGACTACGGTATTATGACTCGATGACGGTCGGAGCGACTCTTCGGTGGGTGCAACTAGCAGTTGAATGCTTGGTGGAGACCGTAGAAGGCACAAGGACAGTTGAAGGGACTGTTGGCACGTGTAACGATCCATAACGGATCATAGTTCACTTGATATTTGTAAACATGATTAGGATTGCATATTAGGAAGAGCCCGAAAGGGCATAACGAATAACAGAACAGAATTTCCACTCAAGCACACGAGCGCGGTCTGGCGTCAAGGTAAGTGTCTGGACAAGCTTGTTTGGGTGTGCTATGCCTGTCGGTGGACTTGAAGTTTGCTAGCGAGGGTTCATCCGGCAAGGCCAAGAGGGTGTCTCCAAGCTTTCGGTGACCTTCGAGGACGAGGCGGACGGTGGATCAGACGCCCAAGATGATTATGACGGCTACAAAGATAAGACGCCGG